CAATTGTTTACTTACTAGAGATGTAAATCTAACAGAATCCGTTTTCAGAACAGTCAGTGCAGGGTGGTGTAAATTTACTTTACATGAAAGCTCCTCTGCAAAGGCCATTATCCATTATCTTTTTCTCTTCCAAATTACATCTGGAAAAGGTATTTTGTTTAGGTCTTCAACATAATAAACGTTCTGTTTTGTTAAAAAAATTAAATGAGAAGTGATTTTCTTTTAAAAATAAATTTAGAAACAGACCTTAACAGTGTCATAAAATGTGACTTCGTAGTTTCTAACCAGAAGCAAAACTTTTCAATAAAAACAAGCAGTTTTTAAAAGCTTGTCAACTTGGCATGTTTTGACAGCAATTGCATCTATCTTTACAAATTGTTTAGTGCATTAGAAATTCATTATGTTCTATTTTAAAAAATCTGTTATAACTGTTTCCAGTTTTACTAGAACATAGCTGAAGAGTGTGTGTGTATATATTTATGCACACATCTCGTACATACTGCTGTTTGTCCCAAATTTATAAAAAGGTTTTGTCTTTGCTTCTCTCTGAGAAACATCCCTGGAAGTTGCAAGGGGTTTTGTTTAATCAATTCATTAATTTTTGAGGTCTTATTTTATACAGAGGATTGGAATTACTGTAGTCTTTATTCAGTCAGAGCATCTGCTAGTACAGTTAGACTTCATTTAATAGCTCTCACCTAAGTGCATTGCCTTTCAACTTGGATTGAATTGGCTCTTTTTCAGAGTCCAGTGACCATTTCTTCAATGTCAGCATGTTTTTTGTTCCTTCTCCAACTAATGGGACAGACTTCTCTTTCTAATAAACCATCAGATAATTTGTCAGTGATGTTGTCATTGACCCCTTTGGAGAATTGTACATGTGACCTATGGAATGGATTGTCGTGCTGCCAAACAGTGCATTGTCCTTGTTTTAGGCAGTGCTCTGGAACTGTTACAAGGAACAACTTGAGTGGGTGATGATGTCAGTTCTGGCAGTCTTCCATCTTTTGTGCTTGTTTCTGAAATGTTTGCTTTCAATTATCAAATCCCACCTTCCATGCTTTGCTGTCAGTACCTGGTAATTTCAGTGGGGGATCAGTGCACCAACCTGTGCTTGTTCTTAACAAATGTTTGTGACAATTGTTAATTGTTGGAGATTTAAATCGACTAAAACTGTTTTCAGAATAGTCAGTTTGCAGAGAAGTGTTCATGTGTGTGGAAAAATCAGACTCTTTTTTATCCATATGCTTATAGATTAACATGTGCACAGTACTGAAGGCACTGAGGGAAGTCACTTCTTTCCACTTAAGTGCTTCCTCTCTGTGTCAAAAAAGGCAGGCAGTATATTATTACAAAGTTGTTGATTCCTTATCTGTGTTTACTTATTTTCATGCCTGTATAGGTGAAGGGTTTGATTGTTTTGAATTTGACTTGGATTCCTTTTTTGTAAAGTGTGAAACTTGGTTCATGTTCTCTCTATTGTATCTATGTGTACAGGTTCCTATGTGGTCATGTAAAATATCTGATGTTTGTATATATATAAATATATGTATAAAAATAGAAAGAGCTTTGTTTAGCCAAAGATGATTTTTTTAAGTATATAAAACTACAGGTTTATTTTGTATAAACTGAATAGTTTGCTTACTGTAAGAGCAATACAAAAAAAAATAAAACTCTGAAACACACACATGTTCTTGTTGAACAAAGGTTGGCTTGGAGTGGTTTTGTACCATTGTTTGTAATTTATTTCTCCAGCAAAAATTTTGATACATATATGCCAAATGTACTGTATGTAATTCTACAGTCTACTTTGTGAAACCTCAGGTAAATCAAAATGTTTCTAGAACTGTTGGTTAATGGCTTGACAGCTACACATGCTGTGAAGCAGCATTAAAATTTACTTCTCTTAGTTTGTATAAGTGAGTAGCTATGTTGATGTTCTGGCCAATAAACATGGAAGTTGTCAGCTGCTGCTGTGCTGTAATTACTGCTCTGAGTACGTACTGCTTATTTCTTAGTGAATGTGACTGGAAATTGGAGAGCTTTACAAACCACATAAAACCCTTAAGCCATTTAAGAAACAGGACCTACAAGTTCAGTCTTTTTTCTGGAAACATGGGGTTATTCTTGAGTGGAATATTACAAAGGAGAAAGACCATTTCATGTCCAAGACCTTTTACTGGAAGAGTGTAGCCGGTGGCCCTTCAAGATTCTTACTCCAACTTGCTACTGAAGGATAGATCTACTTCTATCCAACACATATTTCTACAGGATTCTATTTAATGGATGTGAGTATTCAAAAATTTTCCAGAGTTTAAATTCAGGGAGTGGGGTTCATGGAGATGTGCATGATAGTGAAATCGTGGGGTATTGGGCATTGAATTTTGAGGCAAAGTCTGTTGGCAGCTGAAGGTGTACATACAACAGTTGTCTTAACTCTGGACACTTGTCTTAGATGTCAGTCCAGCAGCACATAGCTATTCCCATTAAGGCTTTCCTCTCATTGTATTCACTCTAAAACCAGATGCAGAATAATCTTTAGCAATTTGTCTTTATGAAGGGAAGCTGCAGTAATAAAGGATGCTGAGGAACAGTCTTAAGGATTTCTTAGAAGAATCTATGAAATCAGTTGAGGCGTTTCAGGAGCCGAATTGGCTTTGCTAGGAAAGATGGATAAAGTTTCAGGGATGGCTGTTTGGTTCCTGTGAAAGGTAACCTGCTCTGGATGGAGAGAGTACCAGTAATAACAGTAATGTTTGTCTGTGGTAAAATGTAAAAAAGCTCAAGTGAAGTGACTTTTTTAATAAGCCAAGATCTTTCTAGACAGTGAGTACACCATACCAGGTTAGTGGTTTAGGCTAAAGCTAAAATTCTGGTGTCTCATCTTTGCATTTCGTTATGCCCATACCTGTATTGCTTTGGCTGCAGCCTGTTGTCCAGCTCACTGTTCACATCAAATTTGTGATGGGTTTGGTGAGACTGCAGAAAGCACGTGCACTTTGAAGTGGTTTTGACCCTATACTGTTAGCTTTGTTGTGATGTCAGAATTGTGAAGTATTTGTACAAGGAAATGCTACTGTGTGTTATAAGAAGATTACTATTAGTTCCCACATATATCTTCTGTTTTTCAAATGTGTGAGTCCCTGACATGAATATCAAAACCTGCCATGCTATAAAATGTGTATTTTGATCTAATACTAGAAGAACTTTGTACTAGCTGGCACTTCTAATTTAGAATCAAAAGATATCCTGAGTTGGAAGGGACCTACAAGGATCTGCTTTCCAGCCTCTTTCCTGAGTCTACACCTACATCCAGGGTCACCCCATCCCAGGTGCAGAATCCTGCTGTCACACACAAGACAGAATAAATGCCCCATACTGGATTTGGATACTGGGGTTTACTGAATAACCACCAGGACCAGACTTTTCACCCTCTTTGGTTGTGATCAGCTCCTGCCCCAGCACTGTGTTCCTTGGGTCTCTGCTTCCCAGGAGGGAGGGCACTCCTGGTCCAGGAAGCTCAGGCATGAAGATGTGCTGATCCCACAGTGCTGCTTCTCACAGCTGCCTATTCCAGTCACCACTGGCCAAGGTCCCATCTCTGATCTGCAGGATGTATTCCCTCCCACCACATTCACACACAGCCTGCTGTCAGTTCACTGTAAGCTGATTCTGTCTGTGGCAGGGGCTTATAGCAAGGGGTCCTGAGGCACCACAGATTCTTGCTTCTCTCCAAATGCAAGCACCACCATCCCTGTGCCCTCACCCTGCTTCCCCTTCATGCACAATTAATTACATGGTCCATTAACAATCTTGTATGAGCAGTCCTTTAACAACATTAATTATCCTGCTGCTAAAGCAGAAATGCAAAAAATTGTCCCTGAACAGCCCACTGTCACCTGCCCTGTCCCCTGAGAAAACCACAGCCTTAAACCAGGTTGCTCTGAGGGCAGAGTGAAGTAGGCAGCCTGTGGTTCTGAACCTGCCAAGGGGCAGGGGGGCTGGGACAGAAATGTGCTGGGCCCAGAATGAGCTGCTTCTGGAGTGAACAACTCTGACAGGGTGGACACATCATAGGTGCTGCAGCTCTTGTTCTTTCCTCAAGTTTTCACAGCCAGCAGAGGTGAAGAGGGTGCTCCTGAGAAACACCTGGGCACTGGGGAAGCTGCTGGAGGTGTCAGGTCAACAGCATCTGATGAGGCAGCACAGAGCATCGATGGCCTGAGCTGAAGCAGCAAGGAAAAGCTTAAGGGACTTGGTGACCAGATTTATAAAGAAGAGACATGAAAATAAAATGGCAATGGCAGGTATGTGAGAGTCTATGGATGAGAAAGGCCTGTGGAGGTCTGCGTGGTTTGGATGAATATAACGCATCTCTCGGGGGTGAGAATTGCAGTCCTACTGCCCCTAAGGCTTTTGTTTGTTATGTTGCATGAACCATACATCTGCTGCGTTAGGCTGAGGCTAGAGGAGAGCTGCTGCAGCCACCTCATCTGCTGCAGGGCAGGGCTCTGAAGGCACATTCAAACAGGACTTTCAGGGAGACATGTACAGAAAGAAGAAAGAGAGAGAAGGATGCAATGGTACATAAGTCAGAGATCATTGCAAAGAACAGGTGAGGCTATTGTCATTTGAGAGCTGGCCACTGGTTTGTAGGAGTCTTCAGGGAGAGGAGTCTGAAATACAAATCATACATGCACCTTATAAAATGGAAGAAAAGGGTCAGAAGTTCTACAACAAGGGAGGAAAAATATATGTATTTTGTACTTCCATAAAATTTAGGCCTGGGCATGGGCAGGATTAGGCAGTAGAAGATCTTAGAATCAGCAACTCAGTTCTGGTGGCTCCAATTTCTCACAAAATACCATTTTGACAACTTGCCTTCTTTTTTTAAAACTTGTCTCTCATGGATACCAGTTCTGAATGGGCTTGAGGGCAGCTATTCAACCCAGCTGATGAAGGGTTACTGTACTGAACGCCTGTGTTTCTGACTTAAGACTCAAGTCTTAGTTCCTGTGGCCTCCATTTTCAAAGGCTCGGTCTAACACATCCCAAATTAACTCACCAGGCAACAGAGTATGAAATCGGACATGACCGATCGATCCTCGAGCATTGATTCAAAGCTAAACTAATGGAATGTAAAGAAAATGTAAGACTCTATTGTACTGTAAAGGCTGCCTATTTAGCCATTTTATAGAATAAAATTCCATTTGGGAGCTGGGTGGAGGTGTAAAGTTCAAAGAACTGACTAAAACAAGGCGTAAGGACTTCACAAACTGCTGCCATACAGATTAAGCCTTGGGGGAACGGCTTTATTAGACACCACTGACTAAAATAATTGCATGATAATTTTGGCTAGAGGCACCATCCTATCATCCATCCTATCATCCATCCTATCATCTGATGATTTTTAAACTGTGCATGAATAGTTTCGACAGAGTGATCTTGGCATCCAGCTACATAGAAGTGAGAAGCCCGTTCAGTGTACCACGTCTATGCTTGGGCTCTTGGGGAAAAGAAAAAAAAGGAAAAAAAAGAAGATGTCCTAGGACTCTCAAAGAGAGGTGTCTGCGAAATAACAGCAAGCAGTTCTGCATGCTCCTTCTGCAATGCTCTAAGAGACTAACCAAGGGCTTTCTCCTAAGGTAAGTGGCAGAAAAATAATTCTTCCTAGGGCAGTATGGAGAAGGCAGGTGCCTGTCAGGCTTGAAGCAATGCAAATTAAAACCATGAGTATTTGCATTTTAACATTTAGCATTTTAACATTTAACTGCTGACAAGAAATTTAAAGTTTAATGCTGCTATTTCATACCTCAACTGATGTAAACATGAGATGAATGTAACATAGAAGTGATTTGAGTAGTGGCAAATGACAATATGTTTTTTAAAGAAGTAGCAAAATCAAAAAAAAAGGAACTTTCTCCAAGAGAAATTATGGAATTCCTTCTGGTTCTAACTGATTACATGCATGAATTTTAATTGCTTGAAATAACCATACAAAAACACTTGGGCGGAGACACAAAGCTAGATGGTATAATGAGAAATGTCTCAGGTATGTAATTTCTATACTGAAAATGGTATGTTTCTATTCTATAGTGCTAGTAGTATAGAATAGTCTGTACTGCTAGAATTTCTAGTCTACTAGTAAACTGGAAATAATGATATAATTGATATTTAAGATTACTGTCTTACAGTAAACTGAAATTACTCTGTTAGAACTCAATTAAGACCAGGGAAGAGGACAGAAATAGAAAAATTAGAAACACATTGCTGTGACAAGGTTGTGAAGTAGTTTGGGCTGATTTCTTAGAAACAGTGGCTTTTGTGGCTCTAAACTAATTTCTTTATTTTATACACAATATTCACTGTGTCATTATTCATACTGCAAGTTCTACCAGAGCAGAGCTGAGGGGAAGTGTCCCGGTATCAAGGGCTTGCTTAAAGGGTGAATTATACCGTTCCTACAATTACATTTCCTCTGTTGGCTTTTCTAATGCAAAGATGAGGATAGAGTTATTTAAACACTGGTGGAAACAACTCAAGAAACAAAACTCTGTCGAGCCAGAGTGATATGTTTAGACACCTCCCTTGCCCTGAATAGTTACATCTGCTTTCTGTTCCAGACAGTTTCTACCTCTAGAGAAATTAATCTTTGGGATTAAAACATATTTATCCCTGAATTTACATTGGAGCATCACACTTAGGGTTTTGTTGTTTGGTTGGGGTTTTTTGCTGAGTCAATCTGTTTCAGTGAGGGATCAGCCATTTGCAAGGCAGCGAATATACCTAAAGCTCCATTGCTTAACTGTTGCATTGGACTGCAATAATTATTGCTGACTTTCTGTTTTCCTCCTGTGTCTCATTGCAATGATATGTGTGGGAGGAAAGGAATGGGGAAACAAGATATTCTGGGTGCATAACAACACCTAAGAGATTGCTTGAGTAGATATGTTTACATAGCCAGTTCCGTGTGTGAAAATTCACCAAAAACAGTCCCAGAAACATAATAATAAATTCTGTAGGATGCCTATGCTGAGAATGACTTCACTGCTGGTTACAACTAAAAATCTTTGCTTGAAGTGTGGATAAATACAGCCTTGAAGCAAAACTGAACTTCCTGGGATCATGTCATGAGCCAAGCTGTATTAATAACGGTGATATCACCCAGCTATGCTATCATTTAAATATAGACAAGATTTTGGGCACACCAACCAGCCACTTCCAAAAAAAGATCTTAGAAATTGCACTTTACTAAAGGTTGTGGTTTAGTGGAATTTGGTATGCTTTGAAAGTATTGTAGCATAAAAGCAATTCAAGTGCAAACCCTAAGGTAGATATGATCCCAGTTGCTTCAATAATTTATTGCCATACTAGCAGAAAACTTCTAGGGATGCAACATCAAACATGCAGTTGATCCACAAATAAACAATCAAATATCTTACATTTCAATTCCCCACATTACCTAAAGCTCCAAAAGAAAACTTCAAAAGAAGCAGTTTGTAAATCAAGCAAAACATAGACCAATTTGCTTGTGAATCAGTTTCTGGGATAGAGGCAGTTAAAAAGATTTTCTCTCGCTGTTAAAAACCTCCACATCACTCTGATTCCATTATCTCATATGTTAACATTTATAAGTAAGATGCAGAAAAATTTGATGCATAAAAATAAAGGTATAAACCCTAGAAGCACTCAGGTTATTGATATTGTCCAAGAACTGGTACTGCAAATGTACAGCTATGTGTAAATCTGCTATGTTTTTGTAGTTTTAGGAGGGCAAGAGAGAAACTTGTGAATTGCTACCTGGGTAGATGGGAAAGCGTTGGATGGATGGCACTAAAATTGCTGCTACCTTGGGGTAAAAAATGAAACTGTTTTTAAGTCACAGTTATAGGACACTTCTCAAAACTTTATCCAAAAAATTAAAGCCAAGAACATTATTTATTGTGGCAAAACTATGGCAAATCCATAGTCAATGTGGAATGGAGTGATTGTAGAATTAAACTGTAGTTGGCAAATGATTTGCAAGGTGGGGAAAAAAGTCATCTTCATTTCTAGTGGGAAGAAAAGGATATAAAGCTATGGGCAGTTATGAAGTACTGTGGTTTACAGCTGAAATCATTATCTCTTAATCTTAAAATAATCTCACATTTGCATCTTTGACTGGTAATCATGAAGTTTCAATTAATTTAAAGGCTCAGTAAGCAAAAAGTAATCATGAACTTCTAAGAGCTCTCCAGCTACCAGAAGAATGTATCTGAAACACATATATTAAAATTAACCAAAAAAAAACCCAAAAACAAACAACAAAAGCTAAAAATGGCCATTTACAAAAAAAAAAAACCAAAAAACTATAATTGCAGGAAAATAACTTTTTTTTTTTTTTTTTTTCCTCCAGAAATGAACTTCTGACCATGGGGGACTGGAACTTGTTGGGCAGCATCCTTGAAGAAGTGCACATCCACTCCACCATAGTTGGCAAGATCTGGCTCACCATCCTGTTCATATTCCGGATGCTGGTGCTGGGAGTGGCTGCTGAAGATGTCTGGGATGATGAGCAGTCCGAGTTCATCTGCAACACGGAGCAACCTGGCTGCAACAACATCTGTTACGACAAAGCCTTCCCCATTTCTTTGATCAGATACTGGGTGCTGCAGATCATATTTGTCTCCTCCCCATCCTTAGTGTACATGGGCCACGCGCTCTACAGGCTAAGGGCACTGGAGAAAGAGCGCCAGAACAGGAAAGCCCACCTGCGGGCTCAGCTCGAGGACCTGGAGCCCATGCTCGAGGAGCACAGGAGAGTGGAGAGAGAACTGCGTAAGCTGGAGGAACAGAAGAAAGTGAATAAGGCACCCTTGAGAGGGTCCCTGCTGCGCACCTATGTCCTACATATCCTGACCCGCTCGGTGGTCGAAGTGGGCTTTATGATAGGTCAGTATCTTTTATACGGGTTTCACATGTCTCCCCTTTACAAATGCACTCGGCCCCCTTGCCCTAACACGGTGGATTGTTTTGTGTCCCGACCCACAGAGAAGACCATCTTTATGGTTTTCATGAACAGCATCGCCGCCGTCTCCCTCTTCCTCAACATCCTCGAAATCGCCCACCTGGGCGTCAAGAAGATCCAGAAGAGCCTGTGCGGGCAGCCGCCGTGGCCGGCGGGCCCGTCCGAGGAGGAGCCCAGCGTGTACAACTCCAAGAAGAGCTCGGTGGTGCCTGCGCCGCCCTGCCTGGCCAGCAACGCGTGGCGGGGGCGGCCGCGGCCCGCCGGGCGCCCCGCAGGCAGAGCCGGGCGAGCGCCTGCCGCGATCTGGATGAGGAGCGCGGCGACTCCCCGGACAGCGGGCACTGCCCCGGCACCCGCAAGTCCAGCTTCCTCTCCCGCGTGCTCGCCGGGAGCCGGGCGGGCAGCGACAGCGAGAGCACCGCCTCCCGCGGCGGCTCCGGCCCCCGCCTCGGCCCCGGCCCCGGCTCCGGCTCCGGCTCCGGCTCGGAGGGGAAGCGCCGCGAGGAGGGCGCGCCCAGCCCGCCGCCCGCCGCTTCGGGACGCCGCGTGTCCATGGCAAGTAGCGCCCGGGACAGCCCGCGGGAGGGGGGCGGCGGGGGGCACCGGCACCCGGGGCCGGCCCTGGGGAGGAGGGGGCGAGCCAGGGGGCAGAACGGCTCGGGCAGGACTTCCAACGCAGCCCCAGCGCCTCGCGGCTCCCCGGACAAAGCCAAGCTCCCAAACGCTCGGCATCCTTCTGCCGTGAAAGCAGGAATACCAGGGAATTACTGAGTCTCGACGAGCTCTAAGTCACCGAATCCCAGCTTCTTTATACTCATTCCATCATCCCAATCAACTCGACGAGGATTGTCCCAGGGAAAACTTCTTCAGCTCCAGCCAGTGTAAGAAAGAGAAGCCAAGAATGCATTGAGTTCAATGACACAACTTCTCTCTGTTTCAGGTTTGTCTCAGAGGTGACCTCCAAGTCGAATAATTGTTCAGTGAATAAATTAAAAGATCTACATGTAAAAAGCCCCACCAAATAATTGCAATGCCAGAGCCAACGACTACAGAATTGCTTCTTCAGCAGCTCCTCCTTTTCTTTGGCCACATGCTCTAGGCTTGCTTACAGTCACAATGTTGGCAAGATATAGTGCTTGCATTCAAGAGTCAACAAGGATTTCATGAAAGGGATTTGAATTCTGATGGCCTCAGATCACAGGTTTGGTTCTTTGAGAGCAGAGAGGCTCCTTTACAATCGCTTGCAGTAGCAAGCCCATAAATACCTTTTTATAGGGCATGTAATAAACAAGATTATTTCACATAATGCTCTAAGTCATAGATTCTGTTCAATTTTTTTCCTCGCTCTTCCTAGACACTGCCCCCCCTTTTTTTCCCTGTATACAAAACAAACAAAACCAACAAACTTCAAATCTTTTCTGGTAAAAAGCACAAGACCCCATTACGCTGCTCAAAAATTGTGAGTTCCAGTTTCCATGGGGTTACAGTTCCTACAGTAAGCCAGTCAGTGTAAGCCATGTTAAATTGTCACTTAGGTGCAATTTAACCACTTTCCACTTCAATCTTTCTAATACAGGGAGAGGGCCTAGAGCCTAATTTGTTGATCTGCTGGCTTTTGAAACTCAGATAGAAGGCTCTTTAAAAAGGTGAAGTGCAGAAAGCGATTCAAAGCGAGACAGAATTTCAGCAGCACTCTCTTGAGAACTCACAGAAGTTGCTTGGCAGCTTTTCCTATGTAATGACAATGATTCTACCTTCCAGGGGAGACCTTCAGAAAAATACAGTCAGTTTGCAAAACAATGTCATTACTTTTGAAAGTAACACTCTCCCAGCATGCTGTCTTTGGAGATCATTATGTGTAGGACATGTGCTAGCATTTTAAAATGTGACTGACGTAGGTATGCTACCTGGTGCTTCCTGCTTACCGCATACAATATTTAAAAGTACAGGTACTTCTTAATACAACTGAGGCAAGGTTTTGGCAAAAGCACTTTATTCTGGCACTGCTGCAGCATTTTTAGGAATACTGATTTCAATACACAAATATCCTGGTGCATCATAAGTATGTTGGACCTGGGCATTAAAACTTGAATACTCTTCCAGTCTGTATTCCTCAATTCCTGTATTAACTATTTAATTTGGTGAAAGGCACTCAGCATTGGTTTGATTTGTTTTAATACTGATTTCCAGAAGACGATAATCATGTGTTAATGATAGAATCACAGACTGATTTGGGTTGGAAGGGATCTTAACGATCTTGTTCCAAACCTCACCCTGTTAAGGGACACCTTCCACTAGACCAGGTTGCCCCAAGTCCCCTCAAACCTGCTCAAACACTTCCAGGGATGGGGCATTCACAACTTCTCTGGGCAACCAGTTCCAGCACCTCACCACCCTCGCAGTAAAGAATTTCTTCCTGCTAAACCTACTCTCTTTCAGTTTGAAGCCATTCCCCCTTGTCCCATCACTACGTGCCCTTGCTAACAGTCCCTCTCCAGCTCTCCCTTTTACTTACTGGAAGGCCACTATTAGGTCACCATGGACCCTTCTCCAGACTGAACAACCCTAACTTTCTCAGCCCTTCCTCATAGGAGAGGTAATGTTTAGATAAAAGAAAAATGTCTACGATTAGATTAAAAATCTACTGATCATATTAAATAAAAAAGTACTTAAAAGTAGCTATGTTTAAAAAAATCCAAATGAAGCATACAAAAGCACTGTCTATTGCCATCCCTGATTAACACTGACTTGCAACAGTAACGCAGAGAAAGTAGAGACACTTCTTAACATAACAGTGAATCCATATGCACAGACATACTCTAAACAGCCAAAATATAGTCTGTTCTAACCTGGGTTTTACTAATCTGAGATGGGTAGCCTAAAATCAGAATTGACACTGTTCTTCAATTTTCTTTGATAAATTTCCCAAACTACCATCTTTAGTTCCACACTGGTTTAAGTTTTTTTTCTTTTTCCTCCTCCTCCACACCATTCTGCTGGAATCAGTCTGCAGCATTCTTTGTATTAGGTTCAATGAGAGAGAGTATCAACTCAACATTGAAAAGATCACTTTCTACAGCTCAATAACCATTCTAGCAACCTCCAACCAAACACATACTCATGTTCTGTGCTAAGACAGTGGGACAGCTGCAGCTGCCCACAAACACCATAGTTTTCTTCCTAGCTGAAGGAAACCCTCAAAGTTACACAAAATCCATCCATATGATAGAGCAAGAGTCTTCAGATGAGTCAACTGCACTCTGTGAGTTGTGGCACTGGAAGCACTGAGGAAGTCTAAGGGTACGGTTTATGGATGCTTGACCTTCAACCAGTGATGAGCTTTTTTCTGACCAGTATTATCAATGCCATTTCCACACCAAAAGTGAATCTCTAACAAGCAAACAATAATTGTTAGGGGCAAATAAATGTGTTAAAAGTTACTTCTCATTATGTATTGGACCCTGTGAATCAAACTATGAAGACCAGGTGTTGGATAGTAATTGGCTGGGTCATATAACAGGATTTTTTTCAAAAGTACAAGACTGTATGTCTCAAATAGAACAGGAAGTTTGCCTTAGGCCTTCCTCTTTGGAGGGATGGTTATTTTGGACCCTTAGGAGAGAATGCGTTTAATTCTTCACTGAAAGCCCCTATGAAACAGCACAGTAGGACACTGATTACAAAATGCATGTTTGGCTATCGGGATTCCTCAGCTTTTCCAGACTTCAGTTCAAATCAGACCGGCTCTAGATCTAAAAAAGAAGAAATGCCCTGTCCATTGGTAGAATTTATACAGACCAACCATGTCTGGCCACAAACTAGAAGGCTATTTAAAACTTCCTTACCTGGAATTGGTGGAGATGAAGAGTGATTTTGTTGTTTCACATCCAATGGAAGCATAAACCCCTGACAAAATATTTACGTTGCAGCTGTTTAGTTTTACACCCAAACCACTCACTCTTCATGTTCTGTTCAATTTCTTTCATGTGGTATTATTCAAAGTTAATAATTATTGGAAGCCAGAGTGAGAGAGACAGAAAACCTAAAAAAATTATTTGACTAAAGATTCATTGGGAAAAAAAACACTTTTTGAGCCACTGCTGGTCAAGCTTTAGGTTTATTAGATTCTGAAGACACACCAGCAAAGCTGGACCTTCAAGCACATGGCAAAGCAAAGGTGGAGAATCAATGCACGACATGAGGGTTATTTCCAGCTGATTTCATTCCACCTAAACACAATGACGAGAGCATTGCTGACTATAGGGATGAGCTAATCTCAATATAATGTTACAAAACTCTATACTGACAGGGGAATCCAGCAACTGAGTACAGCTGAAGTCAGACTATCTGCATGTCTCCAAAACCTTTGTCCTGTGGACCACAGTCAGCATGCTTTGAAGTGACAGAAAACAATTTGTTCACTGATAACTGTCTCCAAGCTAATTTTCAAGGCTCACTTAGAGGATACATCTTAGAGAATAAACAGTATTTTATCTTCTAAGAGATATTATGGGTACACACATAGTTCTGCCCTAGGGTTTGCATCTCTCAACCACATTTTAACTTTTATTTAAGGGGAGATACAGCTATGGAGAAAATGGGCATCTTCCTCATGGTTCCAGGCTGCCAGACTCCATTAGGTGAAGCAGGCCTTAAATGGGAGCTTTTCATACACAACTGAGTGAAAAAAGCTTCACTGAATTTATTATATCCATAATCATAGCTCACAGCCAGGAGAGGGATCCACAAAGGTGTGTAGGAATTATGCTGCTGTCCACAGGACTCTGCACATGAATTATATTATGAGAAAAGACCTCATAATTTGCACCAGTCAGGGTCTTGACTGGTGGATAATACATGCTTAAGCCTGATAAGATTAATAGACTGATGCAGTCAAAGATCAGTTTATAACAAGTACAGGTACAACTTGTGCTCTCTTGAAAATAGGTAGGGCCAGGAAAGAAGCACCTGGCTCTTGGAGCATTGCACTGAGGGATATTATCTCCCAGCATCCACATGCAAGACTGTGTCAAGCCATTAGAACCACCAAATAACTTTCTCTTATCTCTGGGGGCAAGAAAAACAGATCTGAGCACTCCAAATGAAAAATTAGAGAAGACAGCAGCTTTACTTCCAAAGGCACCATTTGCCAGAATCGAACCGTTTTCCTCCTCACCCATTTTCTGCAAACCAGGGAACGATTGCAGAATGATCAGAAAGCTCAGCTGAGATGACCACAGCCCGGCTTTCCATCTTCAGAGTGTCACAATGTCTTCCCAATTCAATAGCTGAATGCAGTGATTTCTACAAAAGCTGGGGGCTGTCTGCTATTTCATTGCTCACTGCATTTGAAGTCTTTGCTAGCTGTGTTTCCTGCCTTTCTAAAGCACAGGATTCCAGTTCCATGCTACCTGAGCAGGATGTTCAGCATCAGTTCTTTTTGGTCTTTACCTATATGACAGTTTTCTAAAGAATTCTATGCTGTGCTCTAAAACCTAGGAGTTTTTATTTGGTTAACTGGGGTTGTGACTATTTACACTAGATTGGCAACTCTCTTCACAAAGGCACCAACTTTCAGATGACTTGGAACAAATTATATTTGCAACCCATGCTTAAACCTGCATTTAGAGAACTACTGTGCTCGTACTCTTTCTAGAGTACCCAAGGGTATTCCAAGAAGATGGGGGTCTTGACATTATCTAATGTTTGTGCTTCTTCATTGAGCCATGATAAGTTCCTAAATTAAAAAACAAAACTGGAAATCATTAGAG